CAATATAAGGTGGTATGCCAGAGAAAGAATAGCACAAACTCCTGTGACTGAAGATTGCTTCAGATTGCATACCTATCATCAGGAACAGGGAGGGATTAATTTTATATGAATATATAAAAATAAGCATAATTTAAATGTATAATAATAATAAATTTTTTTAAATAATAATATAAAATAATTAAAATTGGCATGATGTAGCTTAGTATTTGCCATTGCACTGTGACGTTATGAAGGATGCATTTCTAAGGCAGAAAAAAAAATACTGCGGTGGGCTTTTTTTCCCCCATTTTTCAGTTGAGCCACTGGAGGGCGACATGATCCCAGTCACCTCAGCAGAGGGAGCGCCGCAGCTGCAGCACCGGGCAGCGGGCACCCAGCGGGCACCACCACACTGCAGAAGAATTTCTGCATAAAGGTATGGCAGAAATCAGACAATGACAAAAAAAAAAACAACAAACCACGTGTTTGGTTTTTTTTTTCCCAAATATTTTAATACTGTACTTTTTTTGGAAGGTAGTTTGATAAATTTCTTCCTGCATCTACAATCTGTTAAGCTGGGTTTCTGCTTAGGACGATGTTTTCATTATTTATAAATATTATCCAAAGGATTTCTGAAGGATCCGATGCAAGGCCCACTCAGCCTGGTATCATGAAAGGTGAAATATTTCCCACTGCTAAGTTGCTGAAAACCTGACACATGTTTCTACTCATGAAATAACTCTGGCAGGCTTTTCTGGATTAGTTGTTAAATCCGTTAGAACAGATTATTTCTTTATTACATTTTAGAGGACTATGAGCAGTGTAGGGGTCTGATTTTATTTTATTTTTTTAATTAATAGAAATAGTTTGGCTTGAATTAACTCCAGAGCACCTGGAGACAGTTCGTATCACATATGCTCGCTTTCAGGAAAGCACCAGCCCAGCAAAAGAGTAGTAAACAGTTTTTGAAAAAAGTTACAGCCAGTGTTTTAAGCAGAGGTAGTAAGTACAAGGTAGATGCAAATAAAATAAAAAAAATAGCACCTTAGAAACTGGGAGAAAATGCAGACTGCATTATAAGACACAGCGAAACAACACCATTTTGCCTGGAAATCTTGTATTGGCTGCTGCTGTTTCGGATTGGGTTATCGCAGAAGCAGAATCTCATCCATCTTGTTTTCCACGTGCTCTTGGTTTCACAGTTTTTCTCTGTGTCTCACCTCCCTCTGTGCAGTAAGTCTTTGTTTGCAGCCCTTAGCAATCCAGCTGTGTTTTCCGCATCTCTGGAAAGCGCTTTCACGCACTGGGATCATTCTGGACTGGCGAGCTGGGATAACTCACTGTGGGAAGGATTTGCTTTGTGGATGCACAAGGATAAGCCTTTAGTATCCTCCCTGTTTCATCCTTCCCCCACCAGCATCACGCACGTAGGCACGCACACGCTGGCTCGTGGTTCAATTTAATCCTTATAGCACAGAGATTTGTTCCTTATCCATCCAGCGGCTTGTGGGAGGGGACAGGGGGAGTCTTCAGCAGCCGAAAAAGGCTCTTGCCGAGCTGGGAGAGAGGGTCCCATTTTAAATACTTGTTTGTTTGCCTGGACCTGGAAACAGATTGAAATCAGACTGAAAGGATGGGAGTTCGGATCTTTAGAGAAATATCAGCCTTAATGCACTTTTAAAATGGAGCATTGCAAACACAGAAAATGGGACATCATGTTTTAAAGCTTTTAATTCTTGTGAGTTCCCAGTATGTACAGCTTGGGAGACAAAGTAACAGCATGAAGAAGAACGCTACTATTCGTGAGGAAAGAGGAAGGATTAAGTTTGTCTTTTATTTGCATAAATTGATGCTAACCTGTGGCACTAGCAGGCACTAGTCAGATGTAGAGACAGAGAAGAATAATTTAATGTTTTCCCTGTCAGTTATTTTTTGCAGGAATTCCTTGGAGGGAAGGGAGGGTGAGAACTGCTGGTTTCTGCAGGGTTTTTGTGCTAGAGAAGGCAGATGTTTAAATTTTTATAACTTTCTCTTGAAATAAATTACAAATTTAGCCATCAAAAGAGCCTTGATTTTAGAGTGAAATTGGAGCTTCCGAGCAATCCTGTAATCGGGAGCTGGCTGAAGTCATCACTGTCACACGAAACTTCTGCCTTAGAGCTTGTTTCAGTATTAGAGTTCATTGTTTCAGCAACGTGTAATCACATTGTAGAGGAGTCAGTATTATTACCTGCTTTTAGTCGCTTGTCACTAAAGGTAGCTCTACCAACACATACTTGATGACAACTGAGATGTCATTTAGCAGTGACACTTGATGTGCCCTGGGATGATGTGGTACTGCTTACTATATTAAATATTTCACTTTTTCTTTTTATTACATGTAGATACTAGGAATTATTTCTGCTCATTTCTTAAGTCACTGGGGAGCTCATTTGAATAAACTAATGAAGGTTAAAATTGCTTGTGTTTATTAATTCTGCATGCAACTTTTACATGGTTAAAATGTTAAGGAAAATCTCCATTATGATGGAAGGATATTCCAGTAATTGCCTGTAATTATAAGGGTGGCTCGCTACAAATACATTTAAATACATCATAGCGGAAGACATTAGAAGCTGACACTTCTGTAGTTTAGGACAAATAATGTATTTTAGAAAGAAAGACTGAATAAATGGCATGCTCTCCTTAGGCCAACTACCCCAGGAGCTGTGGGATTCATGCCCGGCACTGGCACTGCAAGAGCCATTAGGTTTATTTGTGATATTTGGGGTTGCTAGGACCGGAACTGCAGGTGATTCAGATAACCAGAATAAATGAAGCTGTACTTGCTGTATACCACAATGAGCCAGTTTGCTGTTATGTTGCAGTAGAAATAATTGATTCACTTACCTTATCACTGGAGGAGCAGAAAGAATTTCACGTACGTAATAAGATAGTGAAAGGCACATTGAAATATATTGGTCTTAATATACATTACTGATGGAGGAACTTGTAATGCACCAAGCCCTGAGGGAACACATTGCCTGGGAGGTGGGTTTTTTACCAGGCAGAACATACTATCAAATTCAGTACTTACCCTTTTTTGTCTCGTGATGTTACATTTCCAGCTGGAAGAAATGGTTGGGAAAAGGAGCCCTAAGACAGGGAGATCACATCCGGGCAGAAACTTTCTCTCTTAGAGGGCTCCAGGTCAAATTCACCCACGGCATACCTAATTTCAATGGATGCAAACCACAGCAGATGTTAGCTGCTCTATTTTGGGGGGAAGGTTTTATGTTTTAGCACGCTAAAAGCAAGGGCATTTTTTTAACACAGGGACAAACACATTGTTGGCCTGACTCAGGCGTTCTCTTTATTTTAATGCATTCTGACAGACTTCAGCTACCGTGTAATGACAAGAAATTAGGGAGACTAAAAGTTAAAGGAACTGGGTGACCAGAGGGGATCCATGAGAGGCCCCTCAAGCCTCATTTCTCTGGGCTGCCTGTTCCATTACAACCACACTTCACCCGTTTATGTGAAAGGATGCTTAGGGGGCTTTTTGAACCCCACAGCAATTTACCCTGTTGTCAAACACACAACCACAATCCCTCCCACATCATTAAGCAGTTGCCTGTTGGAAGAGAAATCATGCTTTAGTAGTTAAGACAAGCAAATATGATGTCTCTTCTAATTTGCCAAATTAATTGAAAAGTTGTGTTTCCAAGTGGATTAGCCCCCTCTTATGGATAGTGGTATCTGGAAAAGGCGTGATTTGCTTCAACCTCTCCCTCTTTTTTGTGAATTCCCATTTCCATACAGGGAATAAATTTGGATGGACTAATCTGTGTTAATCTAACTGCCTTCACATCACCAAGTCTTTGGAAAGAAGCAGGAAGGGCACTGGTCCCTCAGATAATTCACTGCCTGGGACAAAAAGGGCTTGCATAAGTTTTGAGCAAAATTGTGTCCATCACAGGGCAGGAATGTGGGCTGTGCATCCTTATTTTCTTTCTTTAACACTTGTGTAATTGCATGCTTCCGTGAGCAAGAGCAGAGTGGAGTGGCTTTTCTAAACTAGTGGTTGCAGCTGCAAAAGGTATCCATGGGGGTGGCCGTATGGATCCATGGACCAGCCCCTGCTGATAGTCTCATAGGGAGAAACTGCAGGATCCTGGCCTCGGGATTCAAAGCACTAGCCTCAGGGATTAGAAGGGTCATTTCAAGAGACTAATTGTGGTGAAAAGCACAGTTCACGGTATGACTGTTTCAGTTCTCAAAGAAAATGAATGGGATGGGTAACTCAGCAGGCAGAATTAGCACCTTCTCTTCCCCTGCCGAAATACATGCTGCAGTCTTAGAGGGGGGGTTTTCCTGGTGCAAGGGTCTTCGATAGGAGTCTGTCCCACTGCTAACCATTATGTTATAAAATTATTACCTTCTACTTCAAAGCTGAGAACTGCAAAGGTTAATGAGCTAATTCTCTGGATGCAATATCTCCATCCCACTCTGCCACACCAGGAAGCTGAGTGTCTTTCACCAGGTTCTTGACTGGAGATGGAAGTCCTCAACATACATCTGCCACCCAGGGAATCCTATTCCCTTGGCAATGTTTGCAGCAGGCATCACACCAAGAGCACCTTCCTGGTATTTCCAGCTCTTGAGCTGGACACAGTACTGCCAGTTCGAGGAGGTCACCTGCAGGGAGCCTTCTGGCTCAAAGATTTGTTATACTGAAGCTGTGTTAGCACTCAGCTAGAAATTTTATTTGGGTTTTCCAAAGATCTACATCTCCTCTTTAGAAGAAAGAAAATGTCAAATAAGTGTTTGCACTGTGCTAGCAGGAGGGTAGGACTGTAGTAAGACTGTGTGGGAGAGCACTGAGGGTGTCATTTAATATTTAGACATCTCGAAGGACTGCACTGGTGGATTCTCCTTTGACTTACCATTACAGACATATGTCTGGAGTACTGAGGGGTTGTAAGAAATCTTCCCAGCACATCTGCAAATAGCAGCTCCAAGTCACAGACACACAGACCATATTTGTAGAGTAAATGTAAATGTATTTCTTATTTTGGTATGGGAGCGTGTCCCTCCCTACAGATCTTTGGGGCTAAAGCCAAACAGATACCCAACAAGTGAAATTGAATCAAAAAATGTTAATTTGTGCACTATGAAGTAAAAGCAAAGAAGAGTCCAGAGTTATGACAATTCTGAATACGCACAAGTTAACAAGAGATAAAACTGAAACCCATTTCAAACACACTTTAAAGTGGCTCTTCAAAGATAACGGCTTGTAATCAATTATCAGCATAAAATGACTGTATCCCTCCCACAGTACTGTTTTTACCACAGAGTCAAGCAGAAGCATGAAAGCAGCACTCTTCTAATGCCATGTACATCTTTATTCTCCACCCAGGCCAGCAAGGATGGGAAAAGGGAATGCAATTAAAAATAACAATCAGAAAACACACGTTATCTTTACTTAAAAAAAACATCCAGACTAGAGCAGCCAGAAACGCACGCAACAATCAGAATAATTGGAACTCGCTGGAGTTTGACAGTGGCACATAAGCAGAAATTACTTGTGAGTTTCTGAAAGCAACGGTAGAACAAGACAAAACCTTGTGCTTTTTTCTATTACAACAAGTGATTATGATTATATATTTTGCAGCAGGCAAAACTCTGGGAGATAACAGGCAAGAGAGAAAGCTATCCAGAGTTGTTTTGAGAAAAGTTTGAATAAAATTTTTACAAATAGCACCAGAACTAACCCCAAGCTTACACTAGGTCCCACCAAAATCAATGGCAGAACACCCTGACTTTGGCCGGAGCAGAGGCAAGCTTGGTTAAGTGTACAGAAGTAGAAAACACATGATGGATTGTTCCAGTATTATTCCCAAAAATGTAGCCTCCAAACCCAGAAGCATAGCTGCCATGGTAGAGGGAGGGTAACACGACTTCTCTGACGCTCCTTTGTGTTTACATAGGAGTAAGAGGCACAGATTTGGTTTTGTCTCCACTCTGGCAGGCTGCTTGCAAGCCTGAAAGCAAATCCTGCAGCTCAGCAGACATTTCACAGGGCTGGATTCTGTAATGAGCTGGTATTTATCATTCAAGCCCTCTGTAAGTTGCAGGCTCTTTGTGCTACTGACCCCAACCTTTCGTCTAGCCTTGAACAGCTGCTGTTTGGCAGTGACAGCTGAATTGGGCTTTCTCCCTCTGCAGCAATGCACACTTGCCAGCCATCCTTCCCCCAAACCCACTTGTGTGCCGCATGTTGGGGCCAAGATACACAATCCAATCCTTTCACGCTAGCAGTGTCCCTCTACACAAAGTGTGGGAACACTTGCCAGCAGGCCTTCCTTCCCATTAATGCTTGTTAAACATCACTTCTTCCCACCCTCCAGCCATGTGGGAGCCTGCAATTTCCATGTGGAGGAGTATTAAGCAGAGTGGGTCACTACAGACTGCCAGCACTGGCATGACTTATCCTCAGCTTCTCTATTAATTCAGAGCTCCCTGATTGAAATAGCATTTCACTGCTTGAAATGGTCCCAGACGTATGTCAGCCTCTTTGAACCCCACTGAATTACCTGCCATTGCCTCATGGGTCGGGGTCTATTTTTTTCACTGTTTTAATTTTTTTTTTACTGCAAGTTGCCTTTAAAGACTTAGCCAGTAAAAACTGAAAGCTGTGCATCAGGCAGCAGCAAACTCAGCCCAGCTGTACCTGTGCTGAGGGAGCACCTCTGCTTTGTCAGTAAAGCGTGGGGCCAAGCCTGTTCTTGGTATTTGGCTTGTACACTATTCACGCTGTTAATCCTCAAGCCAAGTGCTACGAGGCTGCTTTGGCTGGACCTCCCAGAAGGGGATGGACCAAGAATGCAGCAGGGACTTTACTTAGTGTCACATCTAGAGCATCGGATGGACTTCTTTATACATCCCAGATGTCCTAACCAGGACAGCCAGTCAGTCTACTCTTGAGCTCATCCTTGAAATGCAACACGAAGCATAAATTCCTGTGAAATCCAGCTTCTGAACGCTTCTCTTCACCATCCTAAAGCTAGAGCAGCTCCCCCTCTGGTAGGGAGACTGGGGAAGTGAGACACCTACACAGACATGAGTGGCTGCACAGCCTGACTGGCTGCACGCTACAAATTACCTACCTACACGCATGCAAACGCTGGGCTCCTCTGGGTTGGAGCTGAGCCAGACTTTCTAGCAGCACCAGCTGAACTAGAGCACTCAGAAAATTAATCATGTTTCAGACATGTATCTCAGTCCCCATTAGAGTCCATTATACCTCTCTTTTATTTTCCTCCTGTCCTCCTGAGGCCAAAACCCCAACAGTCAATCCAGAAAAAGAACATTCCTGCTAATCATTTTTTTTAAAGAGACAGTTAAAATTTCTCCAGCCTATGGTGGCCACCTCAGCCTGGTCTGGGAGCCCACTAAGATGCCATGCAAAGTCCCAAAAGGAGGGAAACCAATTATGAAAATGAGACATGAGGGGAGGAGGATGTATAATCCATTGCTCTTCCATACAATGAACCAGCAAGTGTGTGTGGGATGCAGATTTCCAGGGCTGAGGCACTAACACAGTTCGCACTGGCATAAACAGACACTGGCTCAGGGTTGCCCTTGTTCTGAAAAGGAAGAGCCAGCAGCGATTCCGTAAGAGCTACCTGAAAACCAGAATGACCATTTCAGTGAGACCTTCCCATCCCAAGCACCATCTACTCCACTATTCTAAATACAGGTGCTGCTGGTCCACACCTGCGTTGCAGTGTCACGCAAACTGATGGCCTTTCCTCAGAGCAGATGTTTCCTCCCTATAATGCAACTGTTTGAACCGCACACCACGCACAACTCCTGTAGCCCATTCCTTCCTAGCAGTGCACCTATCATAAGATCCAATGGAGCTGTGGCCTAGCACCCATCTTTGCAGCTACAGTCCCCTGGGGGTGGTTGGTGACCATCAGGTCCCCGTGTTACTGACCAAACCCTACTCTTCCAACATGTGATGGGTGCGTTTCAGGTCAGTGTGGAGCTCATGTGCCTTTGTCGGAGGCTCTGCTGTCCCTTCCCAGTGAAAGGCTGGGCACAACTGTTGTAGTGGTCTGTTTTTCAAACTCTGACAGAGTCTACCTGGAGGGTTTGCTGCACTTGTCAAAAAGACTGGAAAAGGACCCTTTCTAGGAAAACTGCAGGAACATCACATTATGCAATTTAGCCTTCACCTCTGAATGCTTTCCTAGCTCCTGAAGGTCATCCCCCAAGTAGAGACTTCTTTTCACTGAGTCAACAGGTCACTGTTATGTCCATTCCCTAAAAGTAAAATCTAACTTTACACAAGTGGACTTTTCAACCCATATCTCTGCCACCTCACAAACATCCAAAGTCCCACAGACCTGGATTTTCTCAACATTCCCAGCAGCTGTAATTAGCTAAAACAGATGACAAATCCTTGGAGAGCCATGCACCTCCCCACCCAGACCACATGAAGCTAGCACACTTGCATTCTGTGACATTTAAAGAGCACTCCCAGCCCAATATTTTATTCATTATGTTTGTGTTTAAATATATATATATATATTAAAAAATCATCAGCGTGTTATCTTCTAGGTGAAAACCACTCACATATGACCAAAATAGTCAGCCAGGACAAAGGCTCAGAGTGCCGAGGTCTCAACCCCCTGTGCAGAGCTCTTGCCAGAGAGACTACCTGAGATATTGTCAGAATCTAGCAGCTCAACAATGCTGTAGGGGGAACAATCTTCCAAACCCAGCTTGCTGCAGAGCCAGCCACAGAAGCCCTTTTCCATATCCCTGACAGCATGCCACCAGTACCCAAAGGACCATGCTACCTGGGCCACAGCCGAGTACAGGCCCAGGGAAAAAGACACAACCATAATTATAATTGGGTAGAATATGATCAAAAAGGGACAAAAGGTGATTTTGTGCCAGAAGGTCCTCTCTTCATTGTACACCAAGAAGATGTTGTACCATGTAATGGTTCCATAGTAGAATGAAACCACAAAGGACACTACAAAAATGATGGGGAGACAGATAATGGTCCAGAGGACGATGTGGGGTCCTCTGTCCAGTCCAACATCACATTTCTTCTTCTTCTCAGGTACATCCTCTTTAGGAGGTTCCTTTGACTTAGTCAGTTCCTGCAGCTCTTTGTCTGTTAGTGTGACATGGATGTCCACCATCTGACCTTTCTTCTTTCCCCTGGTGATTGTTCCAGTCAAGGTGACATATGTGCTGTCTAAAGGCATGTTCCAGACACCTGTGAACACAGATAAACTCATCTACATTAGATATTTTGTGTAAATCCCCAAAGACTCCAAAGACAATTAGATAGTGCATATGGAGTTCTAGTTAAATTTAAAAAAAGACAGAATGCAAGAAGAAATGCAGTAAAAAGATTATCACAGAAGAAAATGGAAGAAGAGCTAATGAGGGAGAAGACAGGAATTCCAGGTGGCAGAAATCACAAGGGAGAAGACTCCAGCATCTGCACTGGGGACAGTATATGAAGGGAAAGTGCTGCAAGAGTATATGAGAAAGAGATGAGGCAGAGTAATTGAATAAAAAACATTATGCCTATTTTCTCTGGTAACCTCATAGATTTATTTCTAAACAGCATGGACACTTGGGATGAATTAGATATATACGACTAAGACTCTCGTTCTGGAATAAGCACATCCACACTTGGAGTTATACTTGAATACCTAATACTTCACTTTACATTTGCACTGTATCTCAATGCAAATTAAAGTTTAGAAAACCCTTACTAACTATTTGCATTTTAAGGGACCAAGAAAGGCACCAAACAAGAAAGTGTTGTGATGCGTGCTAAAGTCACAAACAGATGGCCTTAGTTTCCAAGTGACATTGGTTTAGGACGGTCCCTGCAGTGATACTGGACATAAACTCTTCTAAGGGGCTAAAAAATGCTTCGTCCTGGTCTTAATTCTGACTAGCTTCGAAAAAGATCTTCAGAGGCTCTTAACAGGAGGCTGAGCAGTTTGAAGTGGTCCACAAAAATCAGAAGGCAGCAAATAAGCCATGAGGATAGAGGTTCTGGTGGGGCTGATGGACCAAGGGCATGCATTCACATTTAAGCCCCTCTCAGCCTGCAGTGCTGACTCTCAAGAGGATTAGCCATAGGACCTGCCTCCCACACTTCTTCCCTGCAGGGGTATCCAGGACAGACATCAGAAGTGAAAGCAACTCCAAGATGCCCCCACAATGACCTTGCCAAATAATCACTCTTTAAGAGGAAGCTGTCCTGAGAACATGCAAACAGAAGGCAACAGCAAATCCCAGATAATGAGTAAAACTCCCTATCACAGGTAGAGCCACTAAATCCATCTGCTTCCTTCCTTTCACTTAACAAGCAGTTGTTTTAGGCACGGACAGGGGCTTGATCATAGCATCATTGGCTTAAAGCATGCTCAGCATTTTTCTGGATCAACCTCAACCAGCACATACATTTAAAACTAAGAGTGTGGCAACAACCAACCTCTGCAAAGAACTGCAGGAGACACCCCAAATCAACTTGCAATGCTTTTTATTTCAGGGCGTTTTCATGTATGAACTCAAGCTCTCCTTGCCTTGGAGAGGGTTGGTCCCATGGTCACTTCCATTTGACCCCAGTGCATGCTGGCATCAAAAAAAGTTCATGGAAAGTGGGTGTTCCCAAGAATACATACCATCTGCCATGGACTGACCCAGGAACTTGGAGCCTTCCTCAGATCTCCTCTCCCCTCCTTCTTCATCCACCTGTTCTTCTTCCACCTTATTCTCATTCTCCGACCGATACACTATTATTGACTCGGGTCGGGACTCTTTTTTCTTCTTTTTCCTCCGGTCCATAGTGGCTTCCCCATCAAAGGTGACAGTGGTTGCCACAGCCCTTCTCAAGGAGCCATGGTGAGGGCTCTGGCTTCCAGACTTGCTCTCTTTCTGCGTTGCCTCCTCCATCCCACTGTTGCTCTCAAGCACCTCGCTTGACATCTTGTAGCACTTGTTTCCAATTTAACAGCTCCTGCACTTACAAGTCATTGATAAGACAACAGTCCCATGGATGCTTTGTTTTAGTAAGGTGTCCCACTGCTGACATCCAAACTATGCACTCCATTCCCAGCCTAAAACGAGAGAGAAGGCTGCAAAAGTGTCTTTTTCTTACCAAGCACTTACAAGCAGAAACAATAACCAGAATTTACCTATAAAGAGTTACTTCCAACTGGTTTAAATGTCATCTAACGATCCTTATTACTGTCTTGAACATCAATTTTATTTCTTGGATACATGTTTTGTAATATCACCTAATCCTAATTCTCAGGTTCCAATTTTAAATATAACAAACCAAAGCTATTGAAAAAGGAGAGAGTACTAACACTTTGTTCAGATTTCAGTTGGGATACAGTTAATTTTCTTTCTAGGGATTGCTGTGTTTCAGGTTTGGCATGAAAGGAACGTCCATTATGCACATAGTTGTTGCTAGGCAATGTTTATACCATTCAAGGACTTTTTTCAGCTTCTCATAGAAGCTGAGAAGGAGCACAGACACAACTATAGAATGGCCAATGGAATATTACATACCATAGATGTCACACTTGGTATATAAATGGGGGAATTCACAATCACTGCTTGGGAAGGTGCCAATTTCACCAATTCACCAGGTGGTGAAAGTGACTTCTGTCATTATTATTATTTTCCTTTTCTGTTATCGTTCTATTAAACTGTCTTTATTTCAACCCATGAAGTCTTTTTCCCTTTCCTCTACTTTTCTCCCTCTTCTCCCTACCCTTCTGGGGGGAAGGAGGAGAACTGGGCGGGTGGCTGTGTGATCCCAGCTGCCGGCTGAGGTTAAACCACAACACATTTATAAGAAGAGATTACAGAAGTGCAGCTTACTGGGTGATTTGAACATTCCTCCGCAGTGCTGGTAGCAAACAGAAGACAAGAGCTTTGGTCCACGTGAATGAGAATGAAGAAATGAAACCACAGACGAAGAGGAAGGTGACTGATTTAAGGGACTGGCCTACGTCAGAGACAATTGCAGCAGGAACACTGCCCTCATCCTGCATCACCACAGCTATTGGTGCCAGCCTTTCACATTTTGAGTGTCTTCTGATTTACTGCTTGTTGCAAGGATATTATAAAAAGTAATCAACTTATGTCAAAATGAATGATGTTTCAAACCTCACCAATTTAGCATTATGTAATGCTGTCAGACCTTAAAAATATGGTATACACACTGGATTTAAAGCAAAATTACTATTAAGATGACTTCACCGGGGAGGCAATTTGAAACCACAGCAAAGTCTTCCGATTGTGCAGGGAAAACAACCCAAATCTTCAAAAATCTTTGTAACAAACATAAGGGCTCAATTTTTTACTCCTCATTCAAGCAAAATTAACAGCAGTATCAAGTGACACTGCTACTTACAGGAAAGCTGCCTAAGTAAAAAACATATAATTAAAAATGTATTGAGGCAGACAAATCCTGCTCCATGAACGTGGAAGACGCAGGATTAATGGTTCTCAGATTTCCTAACATTTAAGGAACTGACTGTGCCAAGTATTCACGAAGTATTTAGGTACAAATCTGAATACACTGAATAATGTTTTAACAACTCTGAAGAGCGCTGTTGAACATTTACATGAACATTTATATTTAAAAGAATGCACACGACCAATAGTTAAGCTTCTACCTAGTATCTGAGTCATCTCTTTAACAGGAAACTAAGAAACACAGTTATCATCATTTAAAGCCCACACAATGCTGGGAAATTGTTTTACTTGAACAGATGCTAGAAAAAAGGTTGAGCATTTTTAGGTTTGGCAGTATGGTCCTGGTCTTCCCACAGACAGAAGATTTTGCTGGTTTGTTTTGAAATTTGTTGCAGAACTTGAAATCAACGATTTATGCCTTGTACACTCACACGCATACACTCACATACACACTCCTAAAATTGTATCATTTTAACACCGAAGACTGTGGCCAGGAGGATCTATGTGGTTTTAAAAAACTCAACAATTCAGATGGTTTTTTTGCATTATAGAAAAAAAAATCTTTCCTGGTGATCAGAGGACACATAAAATGGAATTCAAAAAATCAAGTTTTGGCACACCCTGGAAGTTGGACTACTTCTAAATCACTGGGCAGGGAGTATCTCAGCTACCTCTGCAGCATGGCTGGGAACAGACTGTTTAGATTGCCATCTGAGTTTACACCTGCCATGCAAAAATATATGCCTAAATTTGAAGACATACAGGAAAAACAGCTCCATAAAACACTACATTTACTGAAAATACTGTCCCCTCACTGCAGTGTCAAGTGTTGCACTTTGGAACTACCCAGAAGCAACTTGGTTTAAATATTCCACTGTTGATGAGGGAAGCAAGAATGAAGAGTGGCAGTGATGATGAACACCTTAGTCCAGTGTACCAAATAAGTGTGGGTCAGTGTGTGGGTTGTCCAAGATCACTGCCCGTGCATTCTCTTCCCATCCCAAAGTCCAAGCCCAACAGAGAATGGAGCAAAAAGAGGAAAGGAGTTTTGCCCATCTCATCACCTCCCCCTCCCCCCAAAAAACCCCAAATCATACATGTGCTAATGAGAAGTAATTCCTTAATACAGTTCTTGTACCTTGTCTGCCTGAGGAATGTGGCCTTTACACCTGTTTGGAAGCAGCCTGTAGATAGGCAGTTTTCCACATACCCTAATATGAAAGATGAATGGGATACACAAGTAACTTCGCACTGAAATCTAATGCTTTGCTTTCTGCCTCCCCCTTTCAACTCCAAAGCAAACCATCCACTGACTTCAAAGATGGCAAGCTTTGGCTCTTTATGTGTTAACTTTGGCAGGACTCCCAAGATCTCTTCACATCCATTGGAATTCTCGTAAGCTTTCATTCAATGTTTTTTAAAAATGCCTTTATGGGGAAATGAAATGTTTATTCTATGGAATAAACTCACTCTTTGTAGTAAAATTCATCCAGGAGGTACAATAGGCTTTAAATTTTTTCTCTGAGGATCAACAACAGAACTTCATGATTTGCCTCTATAAAATCCTAAAATCACCTGATTGAGCCTAATGAGCCCCTGAGACAACAGTGAGATTCCCCTCCCAGAGGTGGTGAAAAGAAAGCAGGTGTGTAGTCACAAAGAAGTCAAAAGCATCATTGCTGGGACAAACTACTAGAAGTCTGAAGACATGGAAGTTGATTTGGGATTAGATTCCCAGATTTCCTGGCTGTGGTTCCATGGTCAATCCCTACTGCTTTAAAAAGGGCACAACTCATCAGTAACATTTACAAATAACCCAAAGCTACAGGCAAAGATTTGTGGTTGGGCTTCTTTTTTCTTAGAAGTTTGTCCAGCTGTGACCTTGGTTAAACACACAGTAGATGGTAAACCAATGTCAGTTTTGGATGTGATGCTAAAGCCTAAAAGACTATGTCAACCTTGACTATGTGAGGAGGAGCAAGGTGATGTTACTTTTGAATCTGGCACAGATAGGATTGCTACTGGAAACCTGCGTCCAGTTCTTGTGCTCGCCGGGCAGGCAGGATGCTGGTTAATGACTAGAAGATGCCTATGACATCTGAATTACTTTGCTATGTCTGATGTTCTTGCCCTAACTACAGCAGCTATTGCCACTGTGAGTTACTACCAGGACTAGAAAGAAACACCTCAACAACAGGGTTATCAAGTGGTGGCAGCTCAGTTTCTTCTTCCCTTGCTCCTGAGCTGAGAAGAGGGAGGGAATGGGCAATGGGCGACAAGCCCCTAAGAGGCACCGTTGCCATAACAGCATCGGAGCCCTTGGGATAAGGAAGTGAAGGAGACCAGGTTATTCTGTTTAAGGCACAAGGAGGTAAAATCTGATGTCAGTCTGTCTACATCAGAAACAAAAACATGGTAAAGATCCCTCTGATCCAGCAGAGGAGGATGCAGTAAGACAAAAAGCTGACAGAAATACAGGGCAGACGTTAGGTAGGTGTTTTAACAAAGTGGGTAGGTGTCACTTGATATACATCATGGAGGGCTGTGGATAGTTGTCCCATCGCTGGAAACTTCCAAATCTGGACTGTGTATCTTGGCAGCAATTTCCTCACCAGTACTTGACCAGAAGAGGTGTTAATGTGGTCTTGTATCAGGGAGCAGTCAGGCTGAAAGATCACAAAGATCCCTCCTGATCTTAAGCCTGTTTTCACAAGAGCTGTTTATTCTTTTCTCATCTGTTCTGCCAATGGAGCAGCTGGGATACCCTCTGTCACCTGGTCCAGACCTTCTGAACACAGCACTTGGAAACACCACTGTCAGCCCCACATCTCACAGGGATGCTGGGGAATCAAACAGGTCTATGCCCCAGTCCCATTTTTCCTGGAAATATTTTCTCTGTAGTTTCAAACGAAAAATGGGGTCTTGCAGAAATCACAGTAGTATACACGAAGCTTATTTTTTCTCTCTTCCTTTTCTTTACGTCCTGGAAGAACAAGGTCAGCCCTCAGCACTACACAGCAGTCCACAGCACCAACTCTTTCAGCCATAAACTGAGATCTTCACCCCTTGAAAGCTTTGCTGTGGAGCTGAAGCATGACAACTGCCATGCATCTAATATTAGTGATGTCTCCCACGTGAGAGCACAGGGGCAGACAGGAATCTAATAACTAATAAAGAAACGGTCAAATTTCAGAGATAGCAGGGAGTAGTTTATTAGCCAAACAATTTGTTATTAATCTCCGTGTGAAAACAGATGGAGAACCCTGGGGAGGCGGCTCTGCAAAAACACTCTGTAGAGGAATTTTTAGAAGCACAGTCTTCTGTTACTATGCAAGGAAGGTACTGCTGCTTACGCTTCCCATGACAGTATTAGTCTTTGACACACAAAGCAGAAGCCTAAAAGCTTGGCCTTGCACCATTTAGGTCAAAGGAAGTTTCTTCCATTGGTTTTCAGGGCTTGATCCTGCTGCTAACAGAAGAGAAATTATCCGGTTTGAATGCAGACAGGAAGGAAGAGCCTTCCCGTAAGCTAATAAAATACTTGTGCTACAGCACAAGTAACCTTTTTATGACTGCTCAGAGCAGACATGAGAGGAAAAAATGTAGGCGGTGAGCAGAGAGGAGCATCAATTTTTATTTTTATAGTCACATAAAATGTACAACACATAAGAAGAACTGGCACTGTGTCTTCACTCACATCATGCAGGGGTTATCTGCAGAAAGAAAAAACAACCTGTGCTTTAGAAGCACTGTGAGTTACCCAGGGTGGGAAGAGATAAGGGGAAATTTACCCCAGAGACCTACCTTGAGACAGAGCTCCCCAGCCATGGATCCTCCTTTGCCTGCTCTTTTTACTCCACAGCCTCCCCATCCCCAACCCCTTCTCCACCCAGCCCCATCTTGATTTTGTGCATGTGTGTATTTCTGAAGATATATGTTACCCGAATGATTATTTGCAATCCATAGTATTTTTAAAGGAGGTATCTGCTGATAGATTGTACACATGAAAAATACATGGTAACAGATGCATCCAGCTGTTCAGGACAGATCTGTCTATCACCAGTCAATCATGTTATGACAAAATGCACTGGTCAACTGCAGGACACACAGCCCCAGGCTCTACAAAAACATGTGGCAAGACCTATATAAGAAAGCACATTTAATTCAGACCTTATGGTGGGAGAGAGATAAACAGCGCTCCCTCAACAGCTTTGGATCTGTTTTAAATACCTAAATGAACCCACATGATCTTTCACATGTGCATTCTCACCATACCCAGCTGAAACAGAGGACAACGTCTGTCTCCATTTCATGGTGAAATTGCTCAAATTAGATTACACAGTTACTTCAATCTAGCAAATACTCAAGGCTGTGATGAATGACAGTTTAGAAGGTAAGGCAAGAACAGCCCCTCCCTACCAGTACTAGCATCTGTGCAGCTTCTGCTGAGCTTGACAGGGGGATTTATCTCACTGAAAATAACCCTTTCGCATTTTAAAATAAAATAAAATTTTATGTTCAGCCAGACAGATTCCCTCATCAGGTTCACCATGCAGCTACCCCTAGAGGAAAGAATATCTAAGGAAGGGCAGAAAAACTACCCCTTATGGCAGTGGCGCATTGCGAGACTGCATTAAGTGTCTGTGTAACAATAGCAAGAGGCACAAAGAGAAACATCTGCCTACGCCATCCCAGCAAGGTAGGAGAAAGCAAACAGCAAAGCTCATAGATCACACCCGTCTTTCCCTCCCTGCTTAATCACAAGCTTCAAAATACTTTCATTTCTTGGAGAGAGAGACAAGAAAAATGACCATGTTCTGGGTGAGCATCTGAGCAGGAGCAGATCTCAAGCTGAAGTGCTGAAAGCAGAAGATGGCACTGAGCACCAGAGCAGAGGGGATAACACAGTAAGATGACTCATGCCACCAAAAACTTTATGGGTGTTTGCTGATGCTTTTGCACCATGCCTTCCCCTCAGGAGCAGGGCCTGCTAAAAGCTCAAGCTAAAAGTGAAGAGTGGTCAAGTGACAGAATCTCTGCAGGCAAGCACAGACAGACCCATGTTTGCCTAGTCCTTCCAATTTATCAGTGGCACATGGCTCCTACCTGTCCTGCCCTACACTGCTGAACAGCTTCTGGACCAATCTGGACCATCACCAGCATGACCTGCATCGGCCAGCATGGGTTGACTACCACTGAAGCTGCAGCTGCAGCAAGAGTAGACTTGCTTCCCAGTGGATTAAGTAAGGGCTCGCTGGCTCCAGTGCCATGCTGGGCAGCTCAGGTCCCTCGCTCTCCCTGCCGTCCTGTGAGACACCCCAAGGCTTGCTGAAAGTATTCTACGGATACAGCCAAAACAACAAAAAACGTAGCCGAGAGAGGCATTGCAAAGTATCACTAAATTGTTTCTGGATGACATTTTCAAAGGATTTTTTTAAAAGTCAAGGACATTTTACAGAGTATCTGTTCTATGAATCATTTCTTTTTATTTTCCTCTGCTGTTCCATAACTTTTCCAAATGTCACAGAATAACAACTGCTGTGTAGATCAGTATTGCTAAAGGCTGGAAAACAGCATACAAGAACAGCTGCATGTGTTTGTTTTATTTTATATTAAATGAAATGCCTAATCAGTTTTCTTGCATATCAACTTTTTCAAAATCCCTGAACTGTACTAGTCTAGCTTTTTTTAGAGCAAAAGCCTGAAATGCTGTCTCTCCCTTGTCTCTCCACTTCTTTATCCAGGCTGCTAGAAAAAAGAGAAATTGTGACAAAGGACTCAAAGCTTCCCACTGCCTCCATAGAGATGAGATCTGTTTCTTATGTTTATTATACTATGCTAAAAATGTCAATGAATGGCATGTGCACATTAGCCTTTAAAGAGAACCAAGGCCTTAAAAGGAGAATGATTGGAAATGAAGGTTGGTTTGAAATCTTCAAAGCAAACCAAGTGGTTTACATAGGAATCTTGAATAAACTCAACAGAAGTCCCCAAATCTTGTAGGAAAAAAATCTCAACAATAAAGTGGGGACACACTCTTTCTGTTCCCCGGCTCTACCCCTCACTTACGCATTTGCCAAAACAGGCCATCCTGCACCTTGAAACAGCACATGCCCATTGTAATTCCTACCCCATCCAACGCATCACTGCTGGATTACAAAGAACCACAGGAACAGCTGAACCAAGTGGGTCCCACCAACTCGAGCACCACAACCTGCTTCCACAGCAGTGCCCTCAGGCAGAGACCAGGAGTAGCATCTGTTTTTATTGGTATAATACCTGATCCATCCTCAGTTTGAAGCCTTTATATTAAACGGGATTGGAAGATGCACTAGGAGCTTGCTCCACACATCAAAGTGGCGTTGTGCTTTCCTAGCAGGTGTCTAGGAAAAAAGTAACAATAAAGCAAGCATGTAGTACATGAAAACAAGACTTTTCCTTGAAAAAGTCACCTCCCTTTCCAGAGTGCAGGTAAAACACCATCTACACAGTGTATACCCACACACCTATGCAAGTAAGAAATACTGGGTGTTGCTGTGTCTGAAGATCACAGAGCCATGAAGCACCAGTGGCGGGTGTGAAGCACTCGTGCTAACTCAAGACAACACAGTCCTTGCTAGCCAGAGACCTGGCTGGTGGGTGGTTATTTGAGTGAAGGACTGTAAGACCTCCATTTCCTTTCATTAGGAAATCATTCCGTGCTCTCACCAGGATGCTTTAATGCATGCCAGACTCTTTACAATAACTAAAAACTAGGACCTGGGTTAGCACCTCAGTTTTTTTTTCCTTCCCTTCCTACTCAGAAGATCCCTGACCATCTTGGTCTCCTTTCCTTTCCTGCCCTGCTCTGTGCTGGCAAGATCAGAAAACACAGTCAATTGTAAATCCAGTCTGGAAAGGATTATCTGAAAAATACTGACACCAAACTACATCCTGTGGTTTTAATTTGGGCAAGATATCTGGGGGCTTCAGATCAGAGCTTTCTCTGAGTTACACCAGCTACAGCCCAGGCGTTGCTGAAGAGCCAAACTGCACAGATAGAGAACTGGAAGATTCCCCTGGGAGTGATTTGGGATTGCTTAATGCATTGCACAGTAAATATAATCTAAGATATTTGGACAGTATCTCCAGCAACAGGAATTAGCTGGCTCAGGGGACTCTCAATTGGCATCTCCAGCAACAGGAATTAGCTGGCTCAGGAATTAGCTATCTCGATTGGATACAAGTGCAGATACAGATCCACAGTGCCAGAATATTAACAGTGCAGCACTTTCAATTGCAGACAAGTCAATGCTTCAATATTATTAGTATGGTATTAGCAGGGTACATGATTATTTTGAAAATCTGGCTACATACCAGTTTCAAACTGGTGCTGATATTCTACATCTTGCGCCACTGCGAACTCTACTTTGAGTGGGGTGTCCGTCTTCGGTATCTCCTGTATTTTTTTTAATCACTGGAATGAAATTCCAAGGGATAATGATGAAAGGTTGTAAAATCCTGATTATCTCCTAATTAGACCGAAATTCCCTAAGATACCACTGAGAGCAAAGTACCTTTCCAGAGGGGAAGTCCCTAAAGAGATGAATCGACCAGAGAGCCTGACCACCAGCTGGGGCTGAGCAGGAGGCATTCTGACATGGAAAACAGAAGCCATGAAACAGAAAGCCTCTTGCCTCCTGGTGAAGATGATGAAAGGAAAAACAGCCACAGGAGAGAACGCACAGACAGGAGGTGAAAGTAGTAGGGATTTCCAAAGAGGCCTTTTGCGTAATCCCATAGAAAGGTAGAAAACAAAAACTCACAGAACGCCAGTTTTCATTTGAGTTTTACTCAATCCAGGCATTTCTTGTAATAGGTTTTGGGGGGAAGAAATTATTGTTGTTATATTTTGTGCAATTCAGTATCCCAGGACAAGAAAGATATGAACCTGGTGCATCCATAACAGCAAGGGAAAACAAAGGCTGCTGCAGTGCAAGCCTGATCTTTTTCTGAAGTCTAACTAGCAGAAACCCTCTGTCAGAAATCGTCTTTGACCTTAAAGTTTTATTTCTGGCACTGAGATGCTTTTCATTAAATCTCCTCTGCTCTCGCCTCCTTGTGAGACTGCTGGTCCCAAGGATACCTCTCCCAGGGTTTTGATCCTGCAGAGGTTTCTCTCTTGTTTGGAGCCATCTGTTTTCTCACATCAGGTCGGTATTTAACAACTCTGAGACCTTCCTCCTTGCCAACATGGATTACGAGCTATGGAAGGGCACAGGCCCCCTGACGGACAGGAGGCTATAAGGAATTACTAAGGCAGTACATACCACGGCGAGGATTTTTAAAGCATGGCAGTGTACTGGACTGGCAGATGTCACCAGCTGAATAGCTGAGACATAGGCTGGCAAAGCACAAAATCAGCTTTTGACAAAAGTAGCCTTTTCTGTGAAAACGCAGAGTTTCCTATTCATCTTAACAAATTGAACTAGTTCATTCAAAGCCAAAACACAATCTGGGAGCTGTAAAAACAGGAAATCTAGTTTTTCCTCTTCAATCTATAAATGAAAAAGTAGATGTTGAAGAATGACATGTGCTAATCCCATAACTCTGAAGAAGCTGACAACTGAAAAAAAAAACTGCTGATGAACTCTTTTTCCTAAAAGTGTCATTTTGATTTTTGAATGGTTAATGTTTTAAGTGACAGATATACCAAGGAAAAAAAAGATTGTTTTAAACTTCAAAAATAAAACTGAAGACTCTGAGGCTTAAAATGCAGATTTATTTTCACTCAAATGCAAGCTGAAAAAATAAGTAAATAAAAAAACCAGCTGTCTAATCAGACATGATTCCTAGCACATAAAAATTAAGAATCCGAACATTAAGTTTATAGAATAACATAAATATGCAATAAGACCCTTCTGCTTGCTGCATTTACCGCTATGGCTGCATGTAGTGACAGACCAACATGTTTTAATGCTACCAATAAAAGGAAATGAACATTCCTTTGCGAATAAGAAAGTACAAGCCTAGAGGATTAAAATTGATTTCAGTTAATAAGATTTTCTTCTATTCAGTTTAAATAATTTTGAATTTCAACCACTGGAGTAAAATCGATTCACACAAAGGTACACTTTGAATCCTTGTTTCAAAGACAACCTACACAACACTGAATAGAAGCTGCTGCCTTGCTGAAAACATCTGGGAGCTTTGCTTATCTCAGCTCTGCTCTTTGTGGACAGGTTTTGTACAAGAAGGAGCCCCCCTCCATTGAATGCCAAGGAATGGATATCCCCTTTTCTCACTTCCTTACTCTCCAGCCTTTGTGCCTTTCCCCTTCCTCCCCCCACCCATCAGTCGTAGAACCTTAACTCATGTGTTCAGCCCCTTATTTATGGCAGTTCAATGGCTATTGAGAAATACCCAAAAACAAGCACTTTATCGTGACAGGGAAGAAATACCATTTGATAGCACTCTCTGGGAAGAACACTGAAATCAAGAAAGTCATATGAGCAGAGAGGCCCACTGGATTTTCCTTGGTGGCCTGCGGCTCAGTCAGGATGGAGAGCAGGTTGGAATACGAAGATCTAGTTCACTAGCACAGACGAGTCTTCTCCCTGGGATTAATTAATGATCGCTCTGATACATCCTGCCTAAGATATTTAGGGCAGCCAGAGACAGTTAATGGGGATCTGCAACGTCTCCAGATTGTGGAAGATAATTAAAAGGGGAAAAAAAATATTCTTGCAGTGTCACCCACAGCGCTTCACGTTTCCTGTCCAGAAAGTAATATCATGCTTGAAAATATTAGAGTATTCTGCAAACATCAACCCACCCGGAAGGCAACTTTGTCTAACAGTTGCCTCACCAGCCTAAGCCACCATGCAGAAATCCATTCCTGTCTTGTCACCCGTTGCTGAATGAGTCTGGACACACCGTTAACTTCTCCATGCCTCTCCTTCCCTACACTTCAAAGGAGGGCACACAGCTTCCTTTGAAACACACTGGACTGGAAAGTAAAGATGTTATCCTACATTTTTCTCTGACTTAAAGTATAAAACCTTAGAACATGTTTTGGAAAAAGTAAATAAATCCATTTAACAAATGAGAAAACCAAAACAGGGACAACGATTCTCCCACTTCACTTATATGTGTCTCTTTTTAAAAAAAATTTCTCCCTCTCTTCTCACATTAGCCATCTCTCCTAAGGCAAAAATAACAGGACCAAAACTGAGATATACTTTTAAGCATCTCTTCTATTGAAAAGGACAGAGGAGACCCCTGGAAAGGTGCAGAACATGCACACACATGCTCCTGGGCACATCAGCGCTGGTTAAAATCACCTGCAGCAGACAAAGATGCTCTGTCACTTCACTGTGGGACAGAAAGGAGAATAACGTTGGCTGCCCTCTGTGTCAACAAAATAATTAATACTGAGCTTACGGAGGGCGAATTTAAGTGAAAAAACCTTACCATAAAGGCATTTTAGCACAAAATGGCTATGTCAGGGAGACGGTAAATGGTTATCACCGCAGCCTTCGTGGCCTCTTCCCGACAAAGTCCACGCCTGGGTCCCCGGCCGGAGAAGCCCAGCAGCTCTCCCTGCTCCTGGTGACACCTCCAGAGCATCACACGGGCTTCTCCCGGCTGGGGCTCCGCTCCCCGCGCTCCCGAGGGCGCCTTCCCTGCGGAAGGTGACCCGAAACGCTACAGAAAAATACGACCCCCTCATCTCCCCCCCCGCCCCGGGCCCTTTTTAAAGCAGCCGAGGCGGCAGATGGGGGCTAGGTGGGTTTGATGCCAGGCTTCCCACAGGCAGAGGCCACCCCGAGGCACCGATCCCTCCTCCTCCCCCTCCTCCCTGCGGCCACCGGTCCCTCCACCGCGGGGACAGACCCCCGGGCGTTACCCGCCGGTGGGTAACCGCCCCCCTCCCACCACCTTACCTGCCGCCCGCGGGGCCGC